GAGAGCAATTTAAAGAAGTAGATAGAATTTGCACATCCATTAATATTCTTCCGTTACCGGTGTCTGACTTACAGACCATACATCTGTAATTTACACTTGAGAGCAAAGAAACGGAGCCACTACCGTATCTGGGGGTATGGCAGTGTCCCCGCCAATTCGAGCGTGAAGCAAATGCAAATGCCATACCATCCTTTACCTGAACCATAGCAAAACATCACGCCTTTTATCCTCAAAGGAGTAGGCAGAGGTGCACATTATGCCGCTGTACAATGTAACACCCACTTTTCACTATTTATGTTATGAGTCACATGTAATAGGGGGTGAGCCTATTGCCATATACCGGGCACAATTCCAGACTCCGTGCTACTACTGAGATTTTTTTTTACTATACTGGAACCATTTCGTCGCATTTTCAGGCCACTATTTGAGAACCTCTGGATAAGACCAGAACGCAAAAACTCATCATCCAGTAAGCTATAATCACATACTTAAAATCCTAAATCTTAAGTCCGTAGGTCATTTAGTTTCAAAGTTATGCCAAAGCAGTTTCGCATTAATGACATTCACTCACTCATGATCATCAAAATAGAACTGATACTTCCCATGACGCTTGATGCGAATCAAGTTGTGCAATTCCCTCGCACACTCACCGGGATGTATCCGGTAGAAAACCGAAAGGCTTGCAACCTTACGCCTGTGTTCGAGGCTTTGAAGCCGAGCCTTCACAAGCGCATTTTTTTTAAATACTTTAGATTCGACGTTTGGCCACCATCTCGCATGGTGGTGGCCGACGATGGAGCACGCCTACCTATGAGCAACCTGTTCTCTCGGGACTTGAAGACGCGACACCCAAGCCATATTTTTCGGGAAACACAGATTCCGGCAAGGAATTCCATTCCTTTGCGGTTCGCAAAAGGAACATTGACGCAAACCGCTTCGTGTGCTGGGTGGAATGTCCACCATATAAGGGTGGTGCCCTGCCGTTCGTCTGGTGGTACGGTGGTGGAACGGACTTGGGGGAATATGGTTGAGCAATTCCCACGCACACTCACCGAAATGTCTCTACTGTCGAATAAATGTTTTTTCTTTCTTTCAAATGTATCCGGTAGAAGACCGAGGGCTTGCGACTTTACACCTGTGTTGGAGGCTTTGAAGTCGAGCCTCCACAAGCGAATCGTCATTGATGAACGTCTTGACGCGCCTCTCGATGGATTCAAGGGCTTCCAGCTGGTATTTGGCCAAGCCATCCCAAAGATGGGAGCAGTACTCCACACACGACCGAACTTGTGTTTGGTAAAGAGTGAGCAACTGCTCCGGCGTGAAGTACCGTCTCACTCTCGACAGGACACCCAACTTTCAACCAGCCAGTTGCGCCATTGAGTCAATATACGAGCCAAAGTTGGGAGTGGGTTTAGAGGGGGAGTAGTCAGTGTTACGCCGAGAAGCTCGAGATGGTCACCCATTGGAACGGACTCACTTCGGAAAGTAGGAGCCAGTGGAAAGCAGCTTCCTTTTGCGGAGAATAGACACGCCTGGGTTTTATTGGCATTAAACCTGACGAAGCGTGTACAGGCCTCCCGCTAGGTGGACCGATGACATCGCCAGAGTTGCGGGGAGCCAGTGGATGCAGGTGGCGAGTTGTCGTTCGACGTGGAGGACTAAAGTGGAGGCCTTTGTCCAGCAGTGGACGTCTTCCGGCTGCTGATGATGATGATGATGATGAAACCTGACCAAGTTGGCATCACCCCAATCGGAAACCGCCTGCAAGGACAGGTTCAGGCGTTCTACCATGGGTTCTCTCAGAGACTGGATTTGAGTTGCACACATCATCGTTGATGAGCCTCTTGGCACGCTTCTCGACGTGTTCTAACGCGTCCATCTAATATTTAGCTGAGCTGACCCAATATGTGTGTATGTTTGTTACGCAATCGCCTCAAAACGGTTGTAGGAATTGGGATGAAAGTTGGAACAGGGGTAGATTATGGTTCATAGGCTTAAATTGGGTACTTGCCATCTTGCAATGAGTCAGTAGGCTGCGCGACACCCTCGATTTTTAATCAAATTCAATACTTTTTTCGAACTGTCAAAAACGACAGTTTTCTATGAATTTTGTACGAGATTCATATTTATTTCTTAAAAATAATCTGCTAAGTACTAAAATTAAGTTGGTCATAAAATCAATTAATGAAAGTGTGATTATTTTTTAATATTTATTGTATTGAACAGTCGAAATAATTTATTTTTGCTTAAGGGAAGTACCCAATTGTTGTTCCACAGGAACGCTGGCGAAGCTGCTGGTAGAGGGTAGTATGAAATAAAAAAAACGAATACGTTACATACAGTATATTTACGAACACCAAAACCTTTATACAATTAACAAACTAGCACAATTTAAAGTTTAAATTAATTGTAAATTATACAATATCACTTTAAGTGGCAACATTACAACAATTTCTGCGATGGCAACACTCGCTGTTTTAACGGTAAAAAGAGATCTTTTGAAAATGGAACGTTACAAAAATTATAATAATAATTTTGTGAATTGATTTTATAAACACTTCTTCGTAAAAAGTCATTCAAAAAATCCCTTCTTTACCCTAAGTGACAAAATACAATTAACAATCAAATTAGACATATACGAACTATTTTGGTACATTCATGTAGATACAATTATATACAAAATAATATAAAAGTCGCAAGTGTTTGAAAGCGAAATGTTTCAGCGATTTTAGATGCTATTGACGACAATATAAAGCTTATATTCACATGACAAGAGTCTAGAATAAAGATTAAAGTGATACATATATTTTAAAACCCGTATTATAAAGTATTTTTGAGCTTTTTTGAGCCGACGTCATTTTCGGATCACCTCGTATACTTTCGAGCTTGTTGAGAGTGGTTAACTGAAACTCGAAAACAGGCAGACATAGCCGAAACTATTTTCGGATTACGTCGAATATTATCGATCTTGAAAAGAGTCGAAAGGTCATGATTTTTTAAGCTCAAAAGTGTTCGAGCATTTTAACGTATTTATAGACGAGCCAAAACATAAGATTTAATATAGAAATCGCTTACAGATTTCGCTCAAGTGAAGTAAATATATTTTATTTAATATAAAATAACAATTATTGATGCGAAAACATTATTTTTGTCCATAATTATGGACGAAGATAGACAAAAAAGATTGGGATCAAAATAATATCTCCTCTTATCGATAGATTCTCACCAAACGCCACTGTAGACGTCAATTTAGCGTAAAGTCCAATAAAAAATATGATTTTTTAACATGTTCTCCCATTTTTCGGGCTTACAATAAATAGGGTAGTATCCTAATTTTTATTTTAATGTCCGTCTAGTAGATTATTTTAAAACATTAGACACGTATTTTTTATTTTCTTACAAAATTAAATACTTTCGACTATATATTGATTTGAAATATTATGTGACGACACGGTATACTACATTTTATAGGGTAGCGTGTCGTAACGACCTCCCACTCCTAAACTTAACTCCGTTTTATCTAAGTACTGTTTTCTTATACGACAAAATAAAAAATACGTGTCTAATATTTTTTCATTATCTAACTGACGGACTAATTACATTTTTAATTTTCATACACTGTCTACTACCCTATTTCGAGTTTTTAAAATCACAATTTCAGTATAGGTACAAGAACATGTTATGCCGTTTCGTAAATAAGAATTTTTTGACAAAATAACTACCTATTTTACCCCCGAAGGGATGAATTCATTCCATATAAATGCGTTCCTTCATTTAACTCCAATTTGTAATCATTTAAAATGAAGTTAGTTTACATTTCAATTCAGTATTACATTTAAATCGGATCATGATTTTAAAATGTAAATTTTGTAATACAATAACGATGCAAGGAACGATATTAAACGGTTTTAATTACCTCGCCCCGTTTGTTTGTTTGGGTCCAATTTAGTAATGGGAATTTCAACCTTCCTGACGACAGGGTGCTTACTCTTGAAACCAATCTCAATATCAATGCAATTTCAATCCAATAAAATCTCAATAATTATCCAATGTCAAAACTATACAACCACAATCGTAGCTGTTAAAATAGCATTCAGAGTACGGAATATAAAGCCAAACTCAATTTCATTTAGTTCATTCAATATCCACGCAATACGGATGCAATGGGCGCTAGTGTTGCAACTGAAGAGTACGAAATTTCACAATACCAATGTCGATCGATCGGAATTGGATTCAAGAGTAAGCCCCCAGATCGATCTGATATTTGGTACCCACTATTAATCTTGATGACCATACAATATAATCTAATTTCACAACTACCATCCATTATGGATATCAAACGAAAGGGCTTGATTGGTGGAATAGAGATCATTAAAACCGTATAACATACAAAGTGATTTTTTTAAAGTATTACTTCGCTATTGGTATGTTTGTTTGTAGGTATATACATTTTTACAATGTTTCATTTATTTTTATAGTTATATAATATTTACATTATAGGTTATTTAAATGGTAGTAGGTACATTTGCAAAATAACAATATATTAACATTTTAATGAATTCTCTTATTTTTGTATGTTTCAAATTGTATAGTTGGTGCAGTGGGATGACTTGCAGGTTCGATTAAAGCGTCAGGTAAAAATTGTCAATGATTTTTTGAACTAAAATAATGAATGAAATCATGAGCTAAGAACGTGGCAACGTCGAGAAATTACATAGGACATTAAGAACTCCGGTTTAACTTGAAATTGGTCGGGCATGTCCGATACAATGCATAACATAACATTACGACTTTTATCCCCGAAGAGTAGGCAGAGGTGCACATTACGGCACTTAATGCCACTGTACAATGTAACACCCACTTTTCAGTATTTATGTTATGAGTCCCATGTAATATGGGTGAGGCTATTGCCATATACCGGGCACATTTCCAGACTCCGTGCTACTGCTGAGGTTTTTACAAACCCAGTAATACTTTTTGGAATCGAACCCGAGACCCCTTGCCCGGCAGTCGCAAACAATGCAGTTACACAATTAAATATATGTCGTATGAAAATTTAAATAACGCTTAGTATCTTTCGAGTCTTTAGAAGTAAACGGTCACCCATTCAAAATCCAACCTTATGTACCATAGATAAAGTAAGAAAATTCATTAGTAAAGTGATTTTAAGTGCAAATGGATATAATAAAAACCCTAAGAATAATGTCTAAGTAATATACACACACGAGTACCGTCATAGTTAAGCCAATGAGACGAAATTGTATTTTGAACTTTGTTTTTAAGGAAATAAGGACTAATTTTCATTGTAAGCCATTTTTTTGATATAAAATCGACTGAGTTCACTAGAGAATAGGAGAATAGAGAATTGCTTACTCGTTCCAGTACTCGGTCCACTGATGGACTGTGGACCTCCACATGAAGGAAATGGCTATAACCTCCACGTCTGACAAGTTGATTGGGGATTTGAAAAGAATCAGGTTTATCAGAGAGCTCTGCTACCAGTAATTAAACACGTTCGGGTATATGACACCCGCGGGAAGAACAGGGGTGGTTAAAGTTAATATATAGAAAATTTCATATTTCTCGTCTCATTGGAGTAACTTGGATTGAATAATTCGGTACTATAGCTATTGATATCATCAGTCTCTTAAGTGAAAAGGCACTGGACAGTGTGACTCATGTTCTATATAAAAAAATATCGGGTAGCTCTGGTTATTAAGTCCACGACATAGTACAATGCTAAGTAATACTACATAGCTGAAAATTTTGTCCGAATGCACTAATCTGAAGGAACTACTCGTTCGAATTTAATAAATTATTCTTTTTAATCGTCTTAAAATGAAGAACGTGGTCAGTTTTAAATTGTATGTGGTGGTATATCACACAAGGTGATGTTTTAACTCGTCGAGTACCGGTTTTGTAGACACAATTATAGAACAATAGGTTGCGGTCACCGGTGACCGCTTGGTGTTTGACAGTTTAAAGCCGCGTCATTTTCTAGGAGGTAACTCGGCTATCGATTCTGAGTAAGAATCAATAAAAAAATAGTAGATACACATTTTTCATTTTTCTGTAAATTACGGAAATCCGTATGTGCGAAGTCCCTCTGATTCTTCCAAGCCGGTTGGTCACCGTGGGAGAAAAAGACTACAACCCTCCAGGAATAAATAAACAAAGAAAAACTAAATGTAATGAAAATCTCTGTCATTTGCTCGTACAACGTAAGATCTCTCAAAGACGAATCGCGTATGATTCAACTAGAAACTGCTCTTCAAACAGTAAATTGGGATGTAATAGGTATGTCAGAGATAAGAAGAGAAGGATATGTGCGAAGTACGTGTAAATAAATATTCGAACATTTTCTACATTTTACGGTATATTTAATAACAAGCCGAATCCACAGCTTTGTCTACGTTTTTTTAATTAAAAATAGCCTATGTAAACTCCTTAGTACATTAGCTCCCGTCAAAATTAGTCCAGCAATTTCAGATATTAGCCAGTACACACAAACAGACAGACAGACAAAAATAATAAAATGTTATTTAGGTATGTGTATCGTATGTATATTCATATGCATGTAGTAAAAGACTGTTATTTTAATATTACAAACAGACACTTAAATTTTGTTTATCTGTATATATTATCATTGGAGTCCGAATATAACATAACATCACGCCTTTTATCCCCGAAGAGGTAGGCAGAGGTGTACATTACGACACTTAAGGCCACTTGTTTTTATAATAACTATCTTGAGACATACTAAATTAACTAAAATCAGGTTACTCAGAACATACTGAGAAAAGCTCTACTAGTTTTGAACCACAGAGGGGTTCTTCCTCATGAGCAGCGTGCGCGGTCGCGGCGACGTCGCGCAGCTCACTCTGTGGTTCGAAACTAGTAGAGCTTTTCTCAGTATATTCACGTGAGTAACCCGCGATTTTAGTTAACTTAATGCCACTGTACAATATACATAAAACATAATTTAAGCAATGCAAGCCTGCCATAGCCAGACACGCTTAAAATTACTTAAACTATAGAATTATAATCAACCCAATTGATATTATCAATGCGATAGTTTGTCTATATGTTTGTTACTCAATTACGTCAAAACGGCTGAAGGGATCGCGATGAAATTTGGAACAGAGGTAGATTATGGTCTGGAATAACACATAGGCTAGTTTTATTCCACGGAAACGCGGACAAACCAGCTAGCAGAAGCTAGTTTACAATAAGTCGTGAACTTAAGCGTGTCAAATTTTTTTTTAAACATTTTCGAATTTTATTTAAATACCCATATCAATTTAAAAGTATACTTTTTATAATAAAAAATATAACCAAACAGACCGATCGATTTAGGGCCAAATACTTTTTAAATTTTCTTTCTAAAACCAGAGCTACCCGTCACCATAGACTAAGAACGCGAACAGTCACTCCTGTCAAGTTTCAACGGCCGGCACTTTATAATCTGTGCACAAATCTAAAATCTTTTCTTTAACGGGAACAATTTGGTAACTATTTACATTATCAGTCAAATCTACTTTGACATTATTCTTATTGTTCTCTTCTAGAACGGACATAGGAGGTTGTGGTTCTTTACAATCTTCTTCATCACCATCCTGGGCGGTGTCGACATTACCTGATTCAAGTTTCTCTAATTCTTGTCTTTTGGCCTTCTCGAGGGCTTCCAGTTCCTTCTTTTCGGCGATTTCCTTCCGCTTCAAGGCGTTCCACCAAGGCATGAAGCGTTGGAACATGACTCGAGAACGATGTTGAGGTTTGAGGACCCAGGAGACAGCCATGTCTACGTCTGCAATCCTGGAAGTTGAGAAATTCGCATGAATATGTATACTAACGCAACTACTGGTCGATAATTCATTTTGTGTTGGATAGTCCTTTTATGGAGGAAGGTTATAAGCTATAACACATCACGCTGTGATCAATAGGAGCCGAGCAGGAGTAGTTAGTATGATGTAAACATTTGAAGAAGTACGTGCTTGTACTCTTGGTCGGCTGACGAAGGAACGGTCATTTGATGAACATTTAATATTTAGTCATTTTAACTATATAATTTGTAACCTATTTAAGATAGTAAATAAGGTTAAATAATTAAGTACATAACATCGTTAACTAACAGAAGCAGGTCATACTTAATTATGTATATTGTAAACATCCATTTAAGCCCCATTATAATTACAATTATCTATATTGACTAAAAATGCTCGGATCCGACGTTTTTCGATGTCTACCGTACGGGGATTCAGACCAACTTGAATGCACTTTCCATAACTGACGCAATTTGCGAAGGTACTCATCTACAGTGGGGCCTGTCAAGCGGGATTATGCTCAGACCTCCTATGTAGAGCAGGACTGCAGGACCTTAGTCTAGCAGTGGACTCTTTGCACCTACATCCCGTTAATTGTGATAAGACAAGAAAATAAAAGTAACGTACCGTCGCTTGAATCTGTCCCGATCTAAGGCGTATCTCTCCCAATGACCAGCCCTGGCCTGTCGAGCTGCGAACGACCAGACTCTCATCACGTGGACCTTCGGAGGCTGTTCCGAGAAGTGGACCTGGAATAGAAGGAAACATAACGTTAGTCTGAGGCAAAGATAGAAAGACTATGCCAAGGTATGAATGTGTGGCCTCGACTGAAGTGAAACCACGGCTTGGTAAAAAACTGGCATGAAACTACTAAAGCGTTATGTGCAGCCATGTGAGTGAGGTTATCAGAGTTCCAATATATTCCAAAAGGCACTTGAAATCCTCTGGTATTGCGGATGCCTATGTGTGGTCCTGATTGTTTACCATCAGGTGAATCATACGTTTTTTTTTTCTAATATACGGCATCGAGCCATAGACGAATAAAAAAGGAAGCAACACTCTGATTTCTACAAAATGAATCACAGGAGGACACTTTACAGATAAGAAAACTGAATTTAAGAATTTGATATATCAAAAACAGCAACAACCATATTTCCGGGGCTCAGACTTATGAATCAAACTTATACTATACTCTAGACAACCTCAGCATTTCATTCAAAAGCAAAGACCGGACTCGTGGACCAAAACTAAGATCCTTCGCTCGCCAAACGCGAACACTGTTAACGACACCACGACCTACATACACTTAAACACGCTCCTACAAAGGTTCTTTAACCCCCAAGTCCGAATCATTGAATCGACATACAAAACAGTAACATTTTTTATCGACCGCGCGATCATAGACATAGTTAAAAATATATGATTCATCCCACGGTCAGTTCTCCTTGTAGTATGACGATATAAATGACACGGGTTCTAAAATAAACATGTGCGGTCATTGGAGATTCATTTTCCATGATCACGTTAGGCGCTTTCCCATATTAGGGTAGGTAGAAGCATCTTCAACTGACGAGCGTGCATGAAAAGACTGATGAGTGAATAAAGGTAAAGAGGTATGTCAGAATAGTGGTGTATTTGGCGTTCTGTTGTCTCTGCCTACCGCAATAGGTGACAGGCGTGATGATATTTTTGTATGTAAGTGTGGCAGAGCCATTCTTCGGCACGAATGGACCGGCTCGATCGGATTGATACCACGGCCTCACAAAAACACTGACGTGTCATGTGAGTGAGGTTACGGGAGGCCTAATTACATTCCCCAATCTCTCCAATCCCTGAATACCCAATAATCCTCAAACTTCTAATCCCCAAAAGGCTGGTAACGCACTAGTACTTCTAACGCCTAAAGTGTCATGGGCGATAACGATTGCTTGCCGTCAGATGATCCGTCTCCTCGTTTATGGGCTTATCCCATATAAAAATGTAGGTTTAGTTCATCATCTACAAGTACATGACATTCCACTGCTGGACTATGAGTTTCCTCTACATAAAAGGGTTTTGCCATTGCACGTTTAGCAGGCGTATTGGAGATCGCAGTATAAAAGGTTCAGGTTTATCAGAGAGCGCTGCTGCCCGGACTCTGTCAAATGTGTAGTCCCCTAGTCGGCTCTTACGACTCACGTAAAAGCATGTTACCCAAAGTGTACTGTATTATTACAACATAATATTTTAAAGTGGGTTAGCAGCATAATACTAAGAGAAAACTGTCGTAATGTTATAACTAAATGCGTAACCTTGCGGTCATTTTCTAACCAGTTAACATTTACCTTCACGGTGTGTTATTCGGGAGGGGGTCAAAGACAGGTAGACACGAAAGACTATACTTAAACACGGGTACACACAAAGTTTCGCAAAACCAGCGTACACTGACCATTGAATGTACGGAAAGAGCATACAAAACTGGTTTTATATAGCTTTATTTTCAGGGTAAGAAAATTAAAAATCTAATTAGTCCGTCTGGTAGATAATGAAAAAATTTTAGACACGTATTTTTTTATTTTCTCGTATAAAGTTACAATACTTAAATAAAATACGTGTCTAATATTTTAAAATAATCTACCAGACGGACATTTAAATAAAATATAGGAAACTACTATATTATCCAATGACTTCTCCCGCCCATGAGGTCGAGAGGGAGTGTCAGACTCTAACTAATATAACTAAAAACCACCCTGTTCCAACTCCTGAACTTCGAGCCGGAGCCCCGGGAACCCGTTAAATCTTTCGCGGCTTCGCGTCGGGGTTTTATACATACCGACTGTCAATTTTCAAGAGCTATTTTAATTTGTCTGCCGAGTTCCTAAGCGTGATATCATAGTCTCCCTCAACAATAGGATTATAAACAAAAATCGAAACATGGAAATGTGTCTTCACGCGAAACTCAAGAACGGATGCAATCAATTGGACAATTCTTGTTATTGTTAGACCAAGGAAAATATTTTGAAAACCCAAGTGATGTCAGAGCACAGAAAATCGACGTCATTAGAGCAGAAAAAGTAAAATACGAAGGATATCTAAAGCCGTTTATACGACTAGTTGATGTATGAATGTGATGGAAGCTAAAGAAGTATGTAGGGAGCGTAGTAGGTGGCGCTCTGTAGTTTCTGTATACCATCAGATGTATGAATGTGATGGAAGCTAAAGAAGTATGTAAGGAGCGTAGTAGGTGGCGCTCTGTAGTTTCTGTATACCATCAGATGTATGAATGTGATTGAAGCTAAAGAAGTATGTAAGGAGCGTAGTAGGTGGCGCTCTGTAGTATGTACCTATACTGGGAGAAGGGGTGATTCATGTACCGTATTAAACTCAGTGGGTAACTCCAGAGAAATTTACACGGAAAGTTTGTACATAGTAGGCGTGCAAAGAAGCGCGTCGGCCGGCTTGAAATAAATAAACAAATGACGTAATGGTTCGTCAGAGCCGTGGCCGATGAGTCACCACAATGACGAGGTATCAAGACTCAAGAGTCATAAGCTAATGTCGTAGTTAATTTAGTTTTAATAAACTTTGGAGTGTGGGAATTTCATCATGTTTATACTGACTAGTACCATTAGGGGAAATCTGGGGGCACGGTAGCGCCTCCGCCAAGTCAGGCAGGAAGCAAACACTGCCATACCATCCTTTACTTAACCTCTGGACCTCTCTACCCATTTGACCTTTGGATGAGACCAGAACGCAGAAATTTTCATCATTCAGTAATTATGGCTTACTATAATGACATCTTAAAATCAAGGCCAAGTCACACAACTTTATAACATTGCTTCAGTTACAAGTACCGTGTAAATGTACAGTGAACTGAATAGAAGGTCAATGAAACTTAAAGAGCGCCCTACGCACGCACCTCATAGGCGAGGTGCTCCTAATTTTTATTGACCCCGCCCGCGACCACTCTATGCACAGTTGTGCATGCGCTTCTCGCGGCGCCCCCTCTATATCCTGGAGTCGTACTATCTTAGTATTTTAGTCTCCCAATTTTAGGCACCACATCATCATCATAAGATTATTTAATGGCATAAAAACCAGTATATCGTACGACACGGAATAATATTTATACGGCAATATATTGACAAGGCTAACCGGCTTGGAAAACAAGTTATTGTTGATTAATAAATAGATTAATTTAGTTGTAACAACTGATTGAATGAATACTGTTTCACATTACCTATATATGACTAGTTGCTCCCCTGTTCAGCTCGTTATCAATCATATCGTGATGTTTTATATACTACAGCCATCCTCGATAAATGGACTCGCCGACACAAAAACAGGGTAGTATCCTAAATTATATATTAATGTCCGTCTGGTAGATTATTTTAAAACATTAGACACGTATTTTTTCTTTTCTCACAAAATACAATACTTTCGACTATATATATATTGATTTGAAATATCGTATGACGTCACGGTATATTACATTTTATAGGGTAGCGTGGCGTAACGACCTCCCACTCCTAAACTCCGTTTTATCCAAATATTGTTTTCTTATACGACAAAATAAAAATATACGTGTCTAATACTTTTTCATTATCTAACTGACGGACTAATTATACTTTCTAATTTTCATACACTCTCTACTACCATATTAGGTATTCTATTCGAACCAGTAGTTCAGTAGATAAAGCGCATTCAAACAAACCAACTCTTCAGTTTCTTTAGTACAGAAGATTTAACACAAAATTGGGTGGGTGATCTGTATCATCAGCATCACAATAGAACAAAGGCATAAGTTAATGTTGTTTTTTTATGGTTTATGCCGGTAAACAAGCAGACGGATCACCTGATGGTAAGCAATCGGCGACGACTATGGACAACTGGATCACCAGAGGCGTTACTAGTGCATTTGTTAAATTGTTAGATTTAGTGTTCCAGTAACCTCACTCACACGCCGCATCCATTGCAAGCTTTGTCTCTCAGTCGGTTTTATTGAGAAAGGCACAGCTGACCCTATTACGCGACCATGAATTAAAACTAAATTTTACGCGGAATAACAGCTGAACTCTATTTCCGTAGCATAGACGATGGAATCATAGTTTAAATTAAATCTTTCGGCGGGTACGCGTCAATATTTTTTGCAAACGCACGCAGTTGGTTCTTCTTTTGTATCGTGGGTACTTTTACACATATAGAAGTTCAGGTAGGTTCACAATTTCACATCACACCCAGATCCGGAACATTAATTTTGTATAACTTACCAAAGGACTCTTCTCGCACAGAGAAGGAATGAGCATGAATCGCCACGCTTGCTTAATACGGATCAACGATTTCAAACTTATAGAAATCATAAGTCCAGGTTTTCTGTCACCATCATCAATGGCAACTTAAGAAAGTACATATAACTTTAAAATGTTACTTTGGTACTTGCCAAATTTCGAAGCTTGTTTGCTAACAAATGGATGACCAAAATCTGGTCATTCGAGCATCATCGGCTCGCAATCGTCAATCTTCGGAAATAAAATGGCCGACTTGAAACAATGAGGAATGTATTCGACTATGTAGACAATGTCTTGGATTGATTCCAACGAACTTGGCCAAGGTTGTTATCATTGTCCGCCTAATTTGGCGTCGCCGGTCGCTTTAGGAGATCCCCTAATGATATTTTTTCCTTATATCAGATTGTTACCTGCCCTTCGTTTGTCGGACAAGGAATAAATAACGTTGAGTTATGTTAAACCATCATAGCGTTTTAAAACTA